TTCAGGTGGAAAAATTTCCTGTCAGAAATATCTGAGTCTGCCCAAAATTCATACTAAAACTAACACTCTTGCTTCTTTTCTGTTAAAGGTACCATTCCCACTGTCCTTTTCTCCTTTCTTAAACTTCATAAATACATAAATGTTACTGCTTTTCACTAGGAAAAGGGGATAAAGAGACTTTAGAAAGTTGGTTTTACAGTTTCTCTGCACCTAGGTGGAAGTATTGAAGGACAGGAGGGAAGAGCCAAGCCACACATACAAAACAAACCATGCCCAAAATAACTGAAAAAAAGATGTTATGAATACTTGGAATTAAAACGAATAATTTTAATTTCATTTAAAAAACCCCACTTTTTTAAATCAGCATGATGCACCTTTGTAATAATCCATTTTCCTTAATTTCAAGAAAATAACTCCTCCCTTAACCATATTTCTCTAAAAAAGCCCCAAACATGTTAAAAGGAATCCTATATATGCTTATAGCTATCAACATACTGGTTTACATACGGGAAGGAACCGTCAGATTCTCACAGTATGTCTACATGCCACACACCCCTTTACAGAATACTGGAACCTCATGGATGTTCACTTCTATGTATTTTCTCTTTAATCCACCAGGTGCCTTTTTCTTTTGAAAGTTTTCACCTACCTTAAGCTGTAGATGGCTGCTATCACCTTGTTTCCCTGTCTTTCTTCCATGTTCTAGTGCTTAAGGTAGGGCTGGAGGGACCTTAACTCATCACATTTCTTCTTTTACACATGCAAATAGCCCCAGGTGCTGAATGGGAATGAAATAAAAGGTAAGTGGAATGAAACTCGTATGTACCCCTCCATTCTGTGGAGCAGTAATTTCCTGTACAGAATTACAGACTTACAATAGGTGGCGATAACTTACATGTTAGCTATCCCTTCATCTGTCCATATCTACGTTTTTAGATGTCAAAACAAGGATTCAACACCTCTCTGACAAGCACAGATATCTGACTCCCAGAACCCCGTGTTGTAGGTTCAGCACTGAGCATTGCTGATCTCAACAAGAATCTGTGAGCTCCTTTTAGCAACCTCTGCTGAATACACGCACACAGGGAAGCGTTCCTCAAGTAAAAAACCGCACTGCACACCAGTAACACTCCTGTCGTCTTCACATGACCTCTTCTAGTTAGATGTCAGGTAGGTTGTTTCACTGCGACAAGCTTAAAGACTAATCTCTGGGATGTCAGCTGTGAAGAAAGGCCGAGGCCATCCCAGCCTCATCCTGCTGGAGCCTGGAGAGCATCGTCCCAGAGGCATTCAGATGTTATCTGCAGGTCTGCAGTTGTTGGGTTTCTTTGCAAGAGCTGCGCTGCCCCGTTCTTGTTTATCCTGTGTGAGTCAATACTTCTTTATTTCGTAAAAGAGTTCATCTACTTTTGTTACTTGGCTTTGAGAAGAGCCTTTAGTCTTCAGCAAGGGAGTGTCTTCCTGTTCTCAAGAGCCCATCTGCCAAAGGAAACACTGGCAAGAACATCAAGGCTCCAGAGGAACCGCTTTTCCCTTCACACGTGTTTTGAACAAACAAGATTGTGTAGGGCAAGAGTTTGCAGGGTTTTAAGGTAAGTTTATTTCTAAATGAACGTTGACACAACAGAATAGGACATTTAAATGCAATATTTATTGCAATTTATCCTTTTCAAGTCCTACGTACGGGATGTATTAAAAGCATACCGCGTAACGGCATTATTTATACAGCATATATGAAAACTGTATCCCAAAATACTTTCCAGAGTATCTGGAATAAATCACAGAAGAATACTTACCGTGGTAAAAATGTAGTCATACAATTGACTTATATTTAATGCACTTTCTGGGACCTAGCTATATGGCTTTTATTGATGTTTACAGAAATTTTACTAGTTTCTAATGTTATAGTACTAATTAACATTAACTTATTAAAATTTGTCAGATTGACAAAATTTATACTGAAGTGTTACAGTCTTTTCAGTCAGATTTGTTATTTGTTATCTATGCTAATTTACATGTCTGCTGATTTGACTGGAAAGCTCTACATTCCCAAGTATCACAATTCTATAAATATTGTTCCTCCCCTGTTCTTCAGTTACCAAATTTAGATGAGTAGTCCAATCAAATTATGGCCATCCAGCTCACTGTGTATCAAAATGCTCTTAAAATACAGCGGAGACTTCAATCCTTACTTGCTTTAGAAAAAACCCATCGTTTCATCAGTCAAGACAGGATCTACACAGAAAGCTTTCACAGGAGAAATTTAAACCCTTGGTAGGCTTGAGCAGATGATCATCATTTTGCAAGTTTCAGAGTTAAAAGAGCTGGCAGGATTTTCAGGGGAGATCCTCAGGAGGGTATTAAAAGTAGAATGAACTTCCTTTTGAAGTCTGTGTCAAAACAGCATTTTGATACTTCATCCTGCTCTCTCCCACCTTTCACCGAGCACCTCACAGTCAGCAGGTTCTGTTTTCTGAATGCTGGCCAAAACCAGAGGGATACAAGATTTTTACTTCCCAGTTAATACCTTTTACAACAACATGCATTTCCTTTTACCTATAAATACCACCTTCATCCGTCCATCTTAAGCGTGAAGGTAACTTTCACAAACCATTGATCAGAATTAAATGCCTGAAACAGAGGGACTATTTGAGCACAAAAAATGCTAAAAGGCATTACGTACTGAACTAAAGCTGCCTCCTCGGTGGAGATGGTTATGGCCAGTTCGGATTTGTTTTTAGTGTCCTCCTCTTCAAAAAGACACTGCCCAAACATTTGCTGCCAACAGCCACAAGAGGGAGATACCGTTACACCAGTACAAAGCTTATCCCCGAACTGGGGTGGGTCGTTACCCATCACTGGAGTTCACCAACACACACTTCCAGTTTAAATGTTTGCTCATTTAGCATTTCACTCCATGATCCTCGTTGCTCATAACCGTAATTCACGAGTCCCTCCGCTCTGCATAACGAGGGGGTGCTTTGAGGGCAGTTTTTCCCGGGGACAGACTTTATTCTCAGGGACCTTATCTTCAAGCCCTTTCCCACTCCAGAGGTTTCGCTCTTCTCTGGGAGAAGCTAGCTAAGCAAATATGTGGTATTATGCCTGTTTACTAACATGACAGCTGGAGGGTTTTCTCTGCCCTTTTGATATCTAAGAGATGGCTTGTACTCCCTCATCACATGCAAAGCAAACAGTTTCCTTTTAGAGCTATTAAAACTAATGATGCATTTTTTAATTATTCTTGTTAAAAGAAGCATCAAGTAGCTGTTAATGTTGATGATTTCTATACCAGTGAATATTACAGGCTTCCTTCACATACACCTTACTTTAATGGTTTTGATTGCAATTATTTCTTGATTTTTGTGCATAATACAATCTGTAACATTGTGTTTGACTCTTTAGAAAGAATGACCATTTGAAGTTCCCAGGAGTCAAAGAGGCCTCAAGGAATAATATAGCTTACATGGAAACAGAGATGACCTGAGCGTAAAAGCTGGAGAAGTCCAAGCTTCCCATTTTATCTGGAATATGTTTTGATTATGTCAAACAACTCATGTTCCTGCAAGATACCTGTACCACATCCAAGCAGGCTTCTTTCTTTAGTAGCTAAACAGCAAAGCTACAGAATAAAAAAGTTCTCTAACAAGTTCAGAAAACCATGAAATAATGTAGGAATAAGACCTGGATTACGAGGTCAATATTATTATTTTAAATACAACTCTACTGAGTATACTTCCTTTGAACAGACAGTACTGAATTCCAGAACTTGCATTAGACGGGAGAGAGAAGCAATCACTTTGTGAAGCCCTCTGGCAAGGCGAGTACCCCCTGGGACTGACATTCAATGCAAGAACAATATTAACCATACACAATCTAAGGTGTTTGTTTTCTATAGCAGTTACTGTAATTAAAAAAAAAAAAAAGCTTTCATTCATGTTAATAGAACTACAACAAAATATTAATAATTCATTTTAGTTCACTAAAACTGGGAGGTCAAAACAAGATGAAAAAAGAATACTGTCTATATATTTAAATAAGTTCAGTACTAGATGCTGTCATTCCTCCTGGTACTCTGGGGTCAAGGATAAGATTTTTTAAGTACTTTGGAAATAAAACCAGACTACTCAAAAATCAGAACCGTGATTGCGGATTGTTATTGCTGTCGGGACTGCAGGGACTGCCGCAGGCTGCTCTAGGCAGAATTCTGGTTAATGGAAATTCCTTCCTCTAACAGAAAAGTAAATTTTAAAAAGGCCAGGGATTTTCCTACACAATTACTATTGAATGTATCACCAACATTCTCTCTATCGCATGACTGAGGAAGTGCAAACCAGTACCTCAGTCCCACAAAGCAAAATCCATTATGATCTGCTCTATCGCGTACTGTTTTGAGGAACAAACAGGACATTCATCTGCCTGAGCTGAGGGAATTGTTTGAAATAGCCCAGTTGCTTGTCTCCCTCCCAGCAAGAGAGTGCTGGTTACGAGTGAACTTCTTCCAGGTCAACAGAGCCCTCGACTGCACCAGGTGTCTGCGTCAGGCGTGACCAGCCCGCACACTCCCTACACCGACGAATGGGGAGCTGTCAGACTAATGCCCTCTGCCAGCACAGTTTCAGATATGGCTTCTAGTAGTACTGAAAATAAAATATATTACACCTTCATTACACAAACAGAATTACAACACAATTGAAGAAAAACACCTGTACAGCTATACAACTCCTTCCTTCCAGGCATTTGAAATGACACACTGCACTAGACAGCTTCTAAAGAGGCAATATTGACTGCTGCTTCACTCATCCACTTCCTCCATATCCCCCTCACAGTTAATGTCAGTAGTAACTTCAGGCATGAAGTTACTAAGAAGCTGCATTCAGGATAAATTTAGCAAGACTCCATGCTGCTGTTCTTTTCTATGACTTGATAAAATTTATCTAATCAAGCTGCAAAGGCGCCAGATATTTGCTTGTATTTAGAAAACACGTTGACTTGAATCCTCAAGAGGTACTGTTCTTTGTGCTGAATTCCAACACTCTCTTGAATGGGGTGTATGTCCTCACCGGCCTTGCAATTTCAGGAGATCTTCTGTTCTCAGTACTTGTACTGTTAAGGAGACAAGAAAAAAGCTGGCAGAGTTAATGTTGGAGTATCAGACTAGCTGGGCTAGAAATGCCACGGCAATGAGCATCGGCCTTGTTATTGATACGGACAGGCTAAAAGTAAACTATTCTGTGTATCTGATGTGTTCCACATTTCCTTAATGCCACAAAAAATATTGATAAAAACTGTGTCAGATACTGACAAATTTACATGCAGGCATCTGCTACAGCTCAAATTGAAATGTCCAGCAATACAGCTGCTATGACTAAGGATCCTGCAACAGTAAAGTCAGCAATATTACATTTAAGAACACAATTGACTGTGAAGAGTAATTCCATAAATCCCAACTGCATAAAGTCTAAATTTCTGCAGAGATAAATCTCAAAAATAGGAAAAACTCAGAAAGTAGGGGCTGTGGTTACAGAGGGGTCCCAGAGAAGACAACACAGGTAGCTTTCTGTTGGCACCCTGAGTGAAAACCACCATTTCTGAAGTTTCGAAACTCATGCCATTAAAATATGGTCCAGGCTGAACACTGAAATGAGTGTAGTTTTAAACTGGGAAGGAAATTTTAGTTTCTATTGCAGTTTGCTGAGTTCATTCGCTAATCTACATCCTCCAACTAAATGATGCGATTTGCGGGGCAGTTAAGAGGAAGGAGTTTACTTGCTGATAGTACAGGTAGTGTGCAGTGATCCTCCTTACCTTACTACTTTGGTTTCTGTTTTGCTCTTACCTGTGCTAATGTGTTGGGGTGAAGAATCAAAGGCAAGTCCACAGCCTTGCTCCCAGGGCTCGGCGTAACCCTGATGCTGTATTCAGGGCAGAGAAAGGGGAGGAGAAAGGGATCTTCACAAAGCCAGGCTATAGAGCCACTGGCCACCACAAGTCAGAGACCAGCACTCCAGTGCCGAAGTGATAACATTACCATGCTGTTTACTGGGCAGTCTTCCACCTCGGGCTAGAATATGTCCAGAAATTGCTGCAGCCCTAACTTGCTGTTCGTGTTACCTGCCCTTTAAAATGGTCCTGGACTCATCTCCCGGAACACAAAGAATAAAGCATTGATGAGCCAGCATTAACCAGCCTCAGGGCACAGCTGCCTACTGTCTTCTGCTGCGCTGCCTGCAGACACAGTTCACCAACTCTTCCCATATTTCACCAAGTCAGACCTCTTGACTTCCAGCTTTACTCCCTGCTTAAATCACGTTACTGTAAATAAGTATGCCCTAAGGGTTTGCAGTATGTTTGCATCTTAAAAAAACCCCACAGTCCTACACAGCAAGTTGTTGGAAGTACACTACATGTAGTAGATGTGCCTTTTAACTTAGGAAAATTTTGCTAAACTCCACAATCCACTCTAACAGTTTATTAGCACACTGGTTTACTCGTACAGTACCAAACAGGGACATGATGAGGAAGTTTCCTGTGAACAAGCAGAAAAAGTAAGTACCTGTATGGAAGATCACATCCTATACCAGTATCTCTGGTTTCTATATTGGTCTTTGGTTGGTTTTCCATTAAGTAGTCCAATTTATCTTGTAATTCCTTATTCTGGAAAACAGCAATTTTCATTACAAGTTTATTTTACTTAAATTATGTTAATTAATTGGGGAAATAAAATTGCATATTGGCTTATTCCCACCAGAAATAATGTAAACATATTTATTGAGAAAATTAGGGAATTCTTACTTCTGGGGGAAAAAATAATTAAACCAACAGTTTTATTCAAAAGCTTACATTTTAAGTAATTATAATACTGTTTAAAAATGTATGTTAAGAAACTTAGCATGAATACTGAGACTTTGCATTACATACATTCCTCATGTGACTGGTGGTCTAAGTTTGATTTCCATACTGAAGAACGGCAGATGCAAAGAATAAATATGCATCCCGATAAATTCAGGTGACATTGATTCAACTTTTATTTCGCTTCATAAAATAATCACAATAATATAAACTTAAAAGGTAATGCCTTACCTCACATTCTAAGAAAGAGATTTTTTCTAAGAGCTGTATTATAAACAATTCCTTTTCTTTTACTTTCTTCCTTAGCATTTCAATCTATGAAGAAAAATAAGTCAAAGACTTTCAGTCTACTGGGGATGGGAAGAGGAAGAAAAAGACCTAGATACCACAGCAAGAAAACATGTTTAATTTTAGTTTAGCAACAATCAAATATCTATTCATATTCACAAACTGCTTTCTTTAATCCATGAATTAGCTATCATCCCATACAATTAGGATCATTATATAAACATTATATACATATACTAGCATGGCTTTTAAGAATTCAGTTTTTTCTGTAAAGAGAATGGAAACTCAAACATTGTCATGTAACAAAGCAAACTAGGGAAAACTCAGTATCTGATCCAAAGGCCTTTGCTCTAGTCCATTTTAACTACACCCAAAAATACGTTGTACATTTGCTAGTTTCCTGAAGGACTTATCTTTTTCGGTTATTTCCTGGCATAAAAGTGCATTTTCATTTTATATTTAGGGAAGGGAAAGAAGTTATTTACAAATGTTTATGAAAGCACCAGAAGCAATGCATGTTAATACTGTTCTGTATGGAACGGAAGACAATCTTCTTCATGTTCTGGGATTTCTGCTGGTCACAGAGCCATACAACAAAAACCTGTGCATTAAATCTTTCTCTGCTACTAGCACAAGCAGGTCTGAGCAGAGAAACTGGTCAGGCAGAGAAACCCAGATTTCATACCAGTCCCTTGCTGCTGGACCAAAGCTGTTCTGATTGTGTGGAAATGACTTGGTAAAGCTCCTAGAACCACAGTTTTCTATTCTTCTGAACCCTTTGCTAAAAGAGGATTTGCCGTGGGAGGTTCATACTGTTTAGCAGCAACAGTCTGAGAGACCTGTTGAGTGGCACAGAGGTCAGTCCCTTTCAGCTGACCGCATTTAGGAGACAATAGCATCTTGTGCAAATAAACTAAATTTTCTTCTCAGACCAAAGGAAAAGTCACTTGTTGTTCTCTCTCAACCCCGCTGACTACACCTACTACAATAGTGGCTAATAAAAAGAGCAAACCAAAACAATAGCTAAACAACAACTTCAGTTGTTCCTGCCTCCCCGGGAGGCAGTTCAGGTTATTACTCATAGACAGCTGTAGGGACACACCACTTCACAAGCACAGAAGACAAGGTATTTCTTGTATCTGTAGTTACAGTCTACTGCAGATGCAGACAGCACTGTTAAATATATTTCTAAGGAGAATCATCATCAGTGCACTCAAAGATCAACTTGAGGGAGAAAAGAGACTCTGCATCACGTCTGCATGCAGGCAGGAACGGGGAGGAGATGGATTTCCCGCTGTGTTGTATGCTTATGGGAGTCTTGTCCTACAGCAAGAGCAATGAAAGCTGGTAGCAGTGGATACTCTTTCTGCTCTCAGTGTTAAATGGTGTCAGGTCAGTAATTTTTCCAGTGATGTTTCAACCCACCTTTCCTGAACAAGCTATTTCAGGTCAGATGACATGAAAGTAAAAAACCCTATTTTCCCCTTATTAAGTCTGTGGGAATGTGTCTCAGGTGCTATTAAACCCTGCTCCGTGCTCCCTGCCAGCTCTCTTTAACCAGGCAGAGCCCAACCAACAACTTCTGCCTTACCAAACAGTGCATTATCTTAGGCAATTGTCTCCATAACCCATTAAATTAAAGAAATAAAGGGTGTCTGATGTGAAGCTTGAAAGCAAGATCAGAAGTAAACCGAGCTGGTAAGCGGATGGTCCACATCACAAATGGAATGCCAGAGTCCGCCATGCACTGCTTTTAGTAAGGTATATAAGAAAGTTATAGCTATGTTAGATGAGGAAAGACCAATATTCAAACTTCCATTACAGCACTAGGAAAGTGTGCATCCCGCACATTCCTTCACATATTTGGGCAATATGCCAACAGTGAAAAAACCCAGATCCATGCCTATAGCTTTTTTATCTCAAGAAACCTGTAAAAATGCCTATGCATAATAAAACCCAACTTCACATTAAGTGAGGTAGCTTTACTTTGTCAAGTTCTTGATTGGCTGTGGGCTTCACTGATAGAATTTTAAGGAAAAAAGAAAAAGTGTGTTAGTAGAAAATTTTGTGGACTTTTACTAAAATGAATTAATTTTGTAAAACAGCTGAACTGAAATCAAGGAAAGCTCAGAATACATTATTATTTTTCCTGTCAGTCATTATCTTACATTGATAAGCAAGAAAAACCATTCCTAAATACTTGGGTCAAATTTTCCATGCACTTCCACCAGTCACTTTTTAATTCTTCTCTTAAAATAAATTTTGGGAAAGAACAATAACAAACCCCTTCAAAGCATCAGTGTACAACTTTTCAGCATGTCTGGAAACAATGATTAGTAGAAATATTCACATCCTGCTAAAAGAGAAGGATAAAATACTCAAAGGTACAATAACCAGAACAGTAGTAGTACTATCACCCTCCCAAAAATGTACTGATAGGTATTATAAAACATTTAAACCAAAACGTATAGAACTATTAAAAAAAAATAAAGCAAAACAAATGCATAAATTAAACAAAAAAATGACAAGTTACAAAACCAAATCAACTTTAATTTAGTCTTCATGATCTTCAGTTACCACATCTCATTGACAGAGTGATCAGTTATTAGTTGGAAAGACTGAAATGTGAACTCCATATAGTAAGTATTTTGAGCTGAACAGTTACAGATCAAGTGCTGTCGTCAACCATCTTTCTCAAAACCAGGTATTGCTCTTTTATTTTTTACTTTAAAGTGCATGCAAACACTAGCCGTGTCATCTAAAGCCATTATCATTTCAGTTTTCAAAACACAGCAACACCAAGCTTGTAGCATTTCAGAAAGTCATAGAAGGCATTTTCATATCTAATTACAACTTCAACAGCATGACTAAATGCAGTCGGCTCTATCTTCATTGGTTCAATAGCTTTAGTCCTGCCAATAATCTCAACTTCACAAAAGAAACTGTTCTTTTAGGACCCTCAAGCGGGTCTTTGCTATTAATATGCTGTTGTCCTAGTAGGAAATAATTTTAAACACAGGTCATCAGTATGACACAAAGATGACAGAAGCCAAGCACAGCTATGTGATCAGGGAGGGTTTTGCCCTGACAGACATCCACTCTTGTTATTGAAGATAACCACCTCGTCAGCTGCCTATTCTGTTTTTTGCATCAAACACAAAATATTTCTGTTTCCAAATAAGTGATTGAATTATCTGTTATCCAAAAGCAAGACCAAACTCTTGTGTTTTATAGCCTTTTTATATTCACTCCATGATACAAGGGCTCTAAGGTGTGGAAGAAAAACCTGTGACAGTAACCATTACATGTACCAGTATTATGTACAAATAGACTTAGTGTAAGTTAAAATTAAACTTATATTTGTTTACTCTTCACAGTGGCTGCAGAGACACAAACTCCCTAAGGGTGTTCTCGAGTTAACTAGAATAGTCTGAAGGCAAAAACGAGCATGGACACTTTAAAATCTAACAGGGAATACAGAGGAAGACCTTGACAAACAGCTTCCTCCCCTTCCCAAACACAAACCTGAACAAGTCATTATGGAATTTGGCAGGAATGTTACTGCTTTTACTTCGTTTTGAGAGAGCGAGAGAGACTCCTCTAAGGACTGGCAGACTGAACCATACACAACAGCACTCCCTGCCTCATTTTAAACAGGTTTACATAGTACCAGTCAGAACACATTAAATCAATCCACTTTCTCCCCCTGAAGAATTTTGCCAGTATTTTAAAATACGCTTTCTCTTCTACAGTGTGCAGAAGAGACAATGTGGTACTGTACCATCACACCAATTAGCCTCAGCCTAGCAGTACACCCGATTGGAAGGATGAGACCATGCAGATTACACATACGACAAGGCTGGGAACTGGGGAACATATAAAACCTTTTGGTGGCTCTTTAGAACATGATGAACTCGGAGACACAGCCACACAGACCCAGTGCATTCCAGGAGAAATAAATACAGCACTGGCTCAAGTGAGAGAGGCTGTTTCAGCTCCAGGAAAATAATCCTGCAGTCCCTGCTCCCCAGATGCAGCAGAACTACCCTCTGATGCCGCTGGAGAAGGAAAGCAGGGCCAGAAGGAAGCAGGGCCAGAAGGAAGCAGGGCACCCGTGTTACTTCATACGGGCACGCTGCACCCCCAGACACATGGCCAACTAGTTGTCTCAGTAGCTCCTGCAGTCCAAGGGCTGGAACGACTCCCGAAGTTACGACACACCTTTAAACCTACGCACAGGTCTGACACATGACACATCCCACCAGAGTAGTTTACTACAAAAAAAGTTTATTTACTGAATAAGGACTTGAGTACACATTATCTTATGCCATTAGCATCGAGAGTGAGCAAACCCGACTTGATTAACCCCTGAGAGGATATGTCATAGGAAACCAGGAATAACTTTAGGGGTTTATATTAATATATTACTATATTAAATAAAATGCAACCTTTATTCAATACATTTATGTAAGTCACATTGCATAAGGTAAAACTGAGGAACGAGTACATTCCTTCGAGAGGGGAATAGAGCAACAACAGTGGATCATAATGCTGACACTGGCTAAAAGCACTTCAAAAACTACAACTCATGCCTTGCTACCCAATGTAATTTTGATTTTCCATTACAATGTTAGTACGGCAAACTAAAATAAGACGATAACACTTGCAGCACCATAAGCCTCTATTGCACAAACCCAGGTCTTGACAGTGTCTTTGTTTCAAGGAGCTGCATAAAACAAGAGAAGAACTAGCAGGTGATGCTGCATTAGATTTTGACTTTTGGTTAAACACGAGGTAAGGAGAAGGAGAAGAGAAGCAAGATAGGTCAAACACAATTTGGAACTGAGGGCCCAGGTGGTGGCCAGAATAGTCTAGGGTCAGAAGCAAATCAATGCAAGCCTAAGACTCAACTTCCATGGACTGGCTCTTGAATCTGAGTCATTCTGGACTGACTCCAGGACAAAATTATCACCAAGATGTTCCTACATTTTTTTTGCTCCATGCCCAAGGCCTCTAATCCACCTCAT